TATGAGATGATGAGATATTGTATGAGTACATGGGCACTGTGTGTGTAGCAGGCATGCATATACCTTGGGCAGGTGGTGGGGTGAGGTGTGTGTGTGTGTGTGTGTGTGTGTGTGTGTGTGTGAGTGTGTGTGCACTTGGGCTGGATATTTGAGTTCATGCATATACATGTACTTGTGGCTGCCTGGGCATGTGTGTCCACAGGTGTGTGTTGTGCAATTGTGGCATATGTGTTTATACATGTATCTATTTGTATCTTTGTGGACGGAAAGGCATGTCTAGGGGGCATTTGTGTGATTGTGTTTGTGGAGTGCATAGGTAGATGTATTTGGTTGAGAGACTCTGTGATTGCATGAAGGATTGCTGAGGGTCTGGAATGAGGGGCTCACTTCTCCTCTCCCCCTCACCTGGGTGACCTTCTTCCCTCAGCTCAGGGGAATCATCCTGAACCCTCCACAGACCTAAGTGCCCAGGTCTTTGGCTTGCCCGGGTCTTTGATGGGCAGCAGGGCAAAGGGTGGGTGGGTGAGCCTGGGGCCAGGGTTCGTGTACCACCCTCCCCACCCAGCCTCCTCCCCACAGCAGGAGCAGCAGCGGGAAAGGTTGGCGGAGGGGGGCTATTTTGGGAGCGTCTCCTTAGCAACAGCTGCCACGGCCGTCTGTGGCGGTTTTTCTATAGGTGCTAAAATATTCCACCCTGGTGACTACTGAGTGCTGAGAGGTGGGCAAGGGTGGGGGCTGGGGCAGGCGAGACCCCTCCAGTCCTCTGTCCCAGAGCACAGCCCGCTGGGTTGGGTCCTGGCCCTCTGGACCCTCATGTCTCTTTCTCTCTCTGGACTTCACTCCTGAGGGCTGCTGGGACTTTAGGACTGAGATCAGCCAGCTGTGCCTGGTAGGATTCCTGGTCTCAGCATCTGGACAGCCTCAGTTTGTCCCATCTACAGAATGGACTGGCCAGACTTTAGGAAGTCTAGCCTCGGGGCTCTATGACTGGCATTGTAAGTGACCTTTTCTCTTCCCTCCTCAATGTCCTGTCTGCCTGGCCCAAGTCTCCCTCTCCTCCTCACCTCTCAGACCCCCTACATAGACTCTCAGGGGTGGGGGTGGGGCGTCCAGGAAGCCTGAGCGGGCTCCCAGAATGAGTGCTCTGCTGGCCTAGAATGACCTTTCCTCAGAAACCAGGAACCAAACTTGGTTCAAGTGTGGCCTCAGACATTTGCTAATTCCCTGAGTGGCGCTGGGCAGGGCACCACCTTGACTCCTCACAGAGCTGTCTACAGAGTGGATGGGACATTGCAGGAGGCTGCGACCAAGTCCCACCCAGCAGGACAAAGGCCTCACCTCACCATCACTGCCTGTTGAGCTTCAGAGCGAGACTCTTCCAGGGCCCTGGCCTGGAGGTGCAGAGGATTAAGCTTTGGGCCAATGTCAGAAGGTCAAAAGTTTGAAACTCACCAGCAACGTCGCGAAAAGAAATGTGAAGCAGCCTGATTTCATCCAGGTTTACAGCCTTGGAGACCCTCTGAGACAGTCTTCTGTCTTTTAAGGTCAATACAAGCCAGGATCGGCCTGACTGTGGTGACCCAGGCCACTCTGGACAAGAGGACCCCTGCCTCAGTTTCCCAAACAGCTGTCTTTCCTGGAGTTCTTGTGACTTTTAAATGACATTGATGTCTGTGAAGGGTTTATTGTGCCTTGAGCTGATGGTACAGGATCAGCGGGTGCTCATACTCCACTCCAGGGGTGCTGTCAAACGCAGTGACGGCTGTCCCCGTCTGCCCCTGTCGCGTGCCCACCTAGGATTTCAGGGATGCTGCCGAATGCAATGACGGCTGTCCCCCTCTGCCGCTGTTGCATGCCCACCTATGAGTTCCCTCTCAGAGTCTCTGCCTCAATTGTTTATTCCTTTAGGACAAAGATTACTTGCCCTTTGGGGACGTAGTCTAGACTGCCCAGTTAATGAAGATAAAATCCCCGAGACCCAAAAGGGACAAGCCCTCTGCCCAGAGTGGACATGGGTTCTGAGAGCAAGTCTTTCCCCAGCCCCTGTTCCCCACAAGTCTCTGCACACTTATCTTCCATCATCCGTGACCTCATCCCACCATAGATACTGCTCAAATATACTCATCGTCTTCAGGGCAGCCTTGTGCAAGGGGCATCACCTCCCACGTTTACAGACAGGTCGCTCTTGTCCCATAGTCCATAGGGAGTGGCACTGCCAACGCTGGAGGGGCGAATCCACCAGCAGCTCTGAGGAAGAAGGATGGACCGTCTTCTCTCCTGTTATTTATAAGCTCTGAGAAACCACTGGAGGGTCAGCTGTGAGTCAGTTCAGACTCGACGGCAATGAGCTGAGAATGAGTTTAAATACAGGGAAACAGGCCCAGAAAGAAGTGGACTGGCCAAGGTCACATAGAAGGTTGAATGGCGGCTGTTCAGAGGTCCCTGAGCCTCTCCCTGACTGGAGCTGCTCATTCTGTCTCCCCATCCTTCCTGTGCACCCTCAGCCTCCTTAGGACCTGCCCTGAGGGGTCCTAGCCCCGTGAGGCTGCAGCCCTACACCCAATGGGGTTCCTTCTCACTGCTGTGATGTGACATATCTTACTCACCATGCCTCCCCTGTCCCTCTCCCTAGAAGTCACTGTCTCTCAGTCCTCTACTCTTTCATCAAAATTGTGTCCAGGGACGTGGCATGGGACAGGGCTCCATCTCTGTCTCCATCCACCTCCTGCCATCTCCCATCCTCCTTTTTCTGTGCCCCAAACTCACAAGCCAGCCATCAGGCCATGTCTCTGAACAGGTTGAGAGGCCACGGGCCATTTGTCCTGCCTGTGTCCTGCCACTCTCAAGCACTGCTCCCAATTGTCACTGACTGGAGGCCCTGGATATCTGAGACTCCATCACTCTGTACCACTGGGATTCTGGCAGCAGCCCATCCGTCCAGACCGCCTGCTTGTGAGGAGAATGTGGGTAACTGGAGTCTGCACAACTAAAAGGCAGACGGAGAAGGTCCCGTCACTGTGTTTACTGAACATCTACTATGACTTGTACATTTCATGGGTCGCGCATTACTTAATCTGTCCCTGGGAAATGGGGCATTATTAGGGCCTGTTTTTAAAGAGATAAACGGAGTAACTCAATCAAAGTCACACAGTTCCTAGTGCTTTGAACCCAAGTTGGCCTGACTCCCAAGTCCATTAAAGGAAAACCATTCTTGTGTCGCCGTCGGGGTATGGGCATGTGTCTGGTACCCAGTGCCTTGTGAGTGAATGAATCGGGGGACAAATGACTTCTGCAAAATTGTCTAGAGACCTTCCTAGGAGAAGTTGTTGGGCTTTGAGAACAGTATAAATTCTCTGGACATTCACAGCATGATCAAATGCAGAGGGCTGTGAAAGCAGTGGTGTGCCCTGGAGTGGGTGGGAATTCTGGTATACGGATGGGTGTAGGTGGGACCGGAATCCGCTAGGTTGCGTAGGGCCCACAGAGGGGGGAATCACAGAGATTTGGGGATAGTTCGGGTGCAGGATGGAGTCTTGGGGATCCACTTGCAAGAGGTGCCAGAGGTTCAATCATTGCTCAACCAGACTTTGGGGTTCATAGTTTCTCCGCTCTGCACAGGCAAGTGGCCCTGTCTCTCAGGTGCTGTGAGGGGCTGGGGTTTTTCTCCACATTCCTGGCAGGGAAAAAGCATACAGGTGCTCCCTTATCAAGACTGCGCGGGGTAGTGAGAACAGCAGAGAATACTGGGATTTGGTTGGGCCCTGCCGTCCTGGGGTGACCTTGAGCCAGCTTCTGACTGCCTCTGGTACTCAGTCTCTGGGTCTGTAGAATGGGGCGGTGCTGATGAGGTGATCCTTAAGGGTCCTCCTGTAAGACCATCTTGGTTTCTCAGAGCAGGGTGGGGAGACTCTTTAACTGTTCTTCTAGGAGGGGTCAGTGACAGTCAGGTGTCCTGGGACCCTCCAGCGACTCTCTCGCAACCCACTCTGTCCCTGCTCAGAGGAAATCTCTCAATTTGCCCCTGGGGGGCTGGAAAACCCGGGAATGGATCTTTGGAACGGGTTCTGGGAGGAGCGCGCCTGGGGCGAGGAGAAAAACATGGGCAGGATCAAGGCTGGAGCGGGACCATGCAGCCCCCAGCCCCTGCCCCAGCCAGGCCCAGCGGACCCCGTGAGAGGGGCTCTGATAGCCGGCTAGGCAGAGGCCAAGGGGCGGCGCCAGGACGCTCAGGCCGTCCGGGGCTCCGGAGCTGGGGGGGCGCGCGGCCTCCGCAGTGGGGCGCGGGTCACGTGTGAGGAGGGGCGAAAGTCGCGGAAAGCGGGGCGGCGTGCCGCGAGTTGGGAGTTCTCGGCGCGCTGCGGGCGGCGGGAGCTTGGGCTCCCGGGAGAGCTGGGGACGCGGCAGAGGCGGGCGCCGGGGTCCGAGACTGAGGGGGACCGCACCGAGAACGCGCGGCAGAGAGGGACTGAGCCCGAGAGGGAGCTGGAGCGCGCGGGGAGAGAGCCAGGGCAGAGGCAGAGGGAGGCAGCAAAGGGTCTCGGCAGGCGGCAGGGACCGAGACGGCGAGCCCGCAGGGAGAGACAGACTGAGAGAGGCCGGGGAGACCACAGCCAGAGGAGCAGACACCGGAAAGGGCCGACCAGGGGGCGCAGGAGCCAGACCCGGAGCCGAGGGGCCGGTGCAGGCGGAGCCGGGAGCGGGGGCGGGTGGACGACCCGG